GGGGGGGGGGGTGTCAGAGTTAGAATCCAGAATCTGCTCTCACCCACTCTACCCTGAGTGCACTGGGATTGTTTGCCGTCCCCAGAGGGTGCCATTGTGCAAGTCCTCCCTTCACCATGGGCCAGCTGGACCGTCTTCTCAACCTGCTTCCCAGAACATCTGGAGGGCCTCCTGGGTCCCATGAGTCACTGACTTCTGGCCCCTTCCACCCACAGGTTCACCCTCCTGCAGACATGGGACGCAGAAAATCAAAACGAAAGCCGCCCCCAAAGAAGAAGATGACAGGCACCCTAGAGACCCAGTTTACCTGCCCCTTCTGCAACCATGAGAAATCTTGTGACGTGAAAATGTGAGTAGGGGATGGAGGCCACAGAATCTGCCTCATGGAGCCTCCCCCTCCCTCAGTTGGGAATTAGCTCTCCTTTAGATACAGACCTCTTTGCTTACCAGTCCCTCCATCTCCTCCCATTCCAGGGACCGTGCCCGTAATACCGGAGTCATCTCTTGTACTGTGTGCCTAGAGGAATTCCAGACACCCATCACGTGTATCCTTGAGAAACTAGGCTTTTTCCAGGGGGTGGGGGTGGGTAGTCAGGACTGCCCTGCCCAGGGTGGACTGCTTGAGGGCACCTGGCCAAAGGCAGGACAGTAGAATGCAGCCCTTGTACCTCTGGCCCTGCTGTGTACCCTGTGCGGGGCTGTGGCCACCCAGAGGAATGGGTGCTACCTGCTTGCTTAGGTGGAGAGACTGTGCAAGGCAGGGGTCTGGCTGACATCAGTGTGAGCAGCCGAAGTGTGTATGGGAAGGGGAAGGTGTCCAATACCCTCAGTTGCCCTTGACTTCAGCGGCTCAGATCTGTCAGAACCAGTGGATGTGTATAGCGATTGGATAGATGCCTGTGAGGCAGCCAATCAGTAGCAAAGCGGAGGACCCACCCCCTTGGCAGCCCCGCTGCCATGGACCTGCCCACTGGGTACCAATCCAGAGACATTCCTGAGGTCCAGGGTGTGGGTCCAGGGCCCTCAGAGCCCCCTGTGTGTATGTGTGGAGTGGATGTGGTTGTGAATGTGTGGCTGCAAGTGTGGCCACAGGGGTGTGCTCATGGGTGGGGTGGAAGGAGTTGAGGGGTTGCTGGTCTCCACGTGCCCGAACTGCATCCCTTGGCTCCAAAAGCCTTTGACTTGCTCCCTCTTTCAACCCCTGAGCCCCCTGGCTCTGGGGCCCTAGCTTTTCTAGGAGCCAGTGTCCTGGCATCCTGGATGAGGGCAAGCCCTGCAGAGACAGCCTTAGGACCCTCCAGCCTCCTCACCCACTCCCCAGCACCTTGCCCATTTGAACTGAACTGCCTGCTCTCTGCCTTTTAAGGACTATGGCCTGGGATTCAAAACCACAAGCCCCTCAGCTGGGCCCTGGCAGGGTGGACCCAGTTCATTTTTAATTGCTTTTATAGAGGAAGGACGGCTGGGTCAGGGACAACTGTTGGTCACAGCCCTTAAATAAAGCAGCTGATGCAAGCTCCTGGCTCTCTGATTTCTGGGTTCTGGTCAGTTCCTGAGGCTCAGTGAGGGGGGAGAGGGAGACCTGGCAGGCCATTGGAAGTGGAGGTTGGCCAGTCCTTCAAACTGTCCAACACTTATCCACTAGACAGGCATTCAGGGTTTCACCAGGGCATTGCTGAGCGCAAGGGACACCGATGACCCCACAGACATGTGGGCAAGCATTTAGTTCCAATGAGAAAGAGGGCCAACAGAGGCTGGGGTAGGGTAGAGCAGGGTGGTCAGGGAAGACTTCCTGGCCTGAAGGAGGCAATGCTCAAGGGCCACCCTGTGCTAGTGGCTGCCCTCAGGCTTGCCTATCTTACCCCCTTTTCCCAACAGTCACCCTGTGAGGCAGGTGCCCCAGCCTTGCAGATGAGGAAACAGACCAGAGATGGGAGGTCACCAACCCAAGGTCCCACAGCCAGAAGGCAGCACAGCTGGTCCTTAAACCCAGGACACCTGGCTTCACCACCGAGGGTACAGTCTGAGAGAACAGCTCTTGGTTTTGTGGGGGCTGAGGAGCTCTGGAAAAGAATAAGGTTCTACAAATGGACCTTCGTCCAAGGCTGGTGAGGAGTCTCGAAGGCTGGAGGTGGTGCCAGATGCAGGGGTATGTTACAATATTTATTAATCTTTGTCCCTATTCCTGGCACAGAGCTGCTAAAACCCTTGGAGTTTCCACAGCAGTCACCCAGGATGGGGCTGGTCACCAGAAAGATCGAGTGATTACTGAGTAGGAACTCCCTGCCATATCCACTCTCTAGGAAGGGAAAGGGGGAGACTACAGATTAAGCTCTCTAAAAACTTCAACAGCCCTAGCTAGTTTTGCTCAGTGGTTAGAGCATCTGCCTGCAGACTAAGGGGTCCCAGGTTCAATTCTGGTTGCAGGCTTGATCCCTGGCCCCAGTGAAGATGCCTGTGGGAGACAACCAGTTGATGTGTCTCTCATGTTAATGTTTCTCCCTCTCCCTCTCCCTCTCCCTCTCCCTCTCAAAAGGCAGTGGAACAATATCCTCAGGTGAGGATATAATTAACTAATTAAAAACTTCAACAATGCCCAGCTGGTGTGGCTCAGTGGTTGAGGGTTGACCCATGAACCCGAGGTAGTGGTTCAATTCCTGGTCAGGGCATACGCCCAGGTTGTGGGCTCAATCCCCAGTAGGGGGTGTGCAGGAGGCAACCGATCAATGACTCTCATCCTTGATGTTTCTATCTCTCCCTCTCCCTTCCTCTCTCTGAAATCAATAAAAACATATTTAAAAATTTAAAAATAATAAAAATAAAGACTTCAACAAGATCTGATGAACACCTGAAACCTATAAATTTTAACTGGTGTTACTCCAATAAATGCAATTTTAAAAATTAAAGAAATAGCCCAGCTGGGCGTGGCTCAGCGGTTGAGCGTCGACCTAGGATCCAGGAGATCAGGGTTCGATTCCCGGTCAGGGCACATGCCCGGGTTGCGGGCTGCAGCCAATCAGTGACTCTCTCATCATTGATATTTCTATCTCTCTCTCTCCCTCTCCCTTCCTCTCTCTGAAATCAATAAAGATATATTAAAGTAAGTAAATAAATAAATAAAATTAAAGAAATAAAAAGATTTGATGCGCTTCCAGGTTGGTGAACACATGGAGGTGCTGGGAGGGCGCTGCACATGGAGAGCGCATGGCAGCTCTGCTCTTATCTATGCCTTGCCCTATGCAGCTCTTCCACTTGGCTGTTCCTGAGTTACTTCCTTTTATAAACCTGTAATCTGATAAGTAAAATGTTTCTATAAGTACTGTGAACTACTCTAGTAAATTAAATTTGAGGGGGGGTCATGGGAAAGCACGATCTATAGCCAGTTGGTCAGAAGCACCTGGATTTGCAATTGGCAGCTGAAGTGGGGGAGGACCGCCTTGTAGTACCAAGCCCTTACACTGTGGGATATGACACTCTCGAGGTAGATATTGTCAGAATTGAGTTCATTGAGTTCATTGCTTGGTAGTGTGGAAAAAGCACACATCTGAACATGGCTCATGGTGAGCACCTGGACACTGCACGGTGCCCTCAGATGGTCTCGTGATTATAGGACTCTTGACTCAGTATCCTGGGGCAGATCCAGCTCTGCCTCCTGGCCTCCTAAGTCTGAGCAGCAGGGGACCTGTGCTTAGGATTTCTCATTGATACAATAGGAAGGATGATGGAAACTTTCTCCCAGGGCCATGCTGAGGACGGGGAGGTGCCTTGCATGGTTTGAGCAACTCTGGGACCCACCCTGGGCATTGAGGAATATGAACAATAGATGCTTAATTCGCAGGAAGCCCTAACCACCACGCCCAGCTACTGAGTCTGGCATGTGCCCCCTAAAGTCCACCCTGCTCTGACATGCTTCTTCCTGGTGCTCCCCACCAAGACCCCAGGTAAGGTCTCCTAGCCCAGACATGAGCCAGTGGTCATGGGCAGAGTGGTGGACAGACCCGGGTGGGATTGCCTCCGACATCCAGGGAAATGGGGTTCGTCCTCTGGCATCCAGGGCCCGCCCACCAGAGGCCAAGTGCTAATATGGTGCTATTTTCCACAGGAGGCAGGGCCCAGAGCCAGGCGTGGATCCTCCTCAGCATAGCTTCTTGAGCTGGCCCTAGGGGAGCAGGACTCCCAGTAGCCAGGCCAAGCGTGCCTGGAATCCAGTTTATGAGGCCCCAAGGGCTGTGTCATCTATGCATGTGGGTCTTCTGTTGTCTGTCTCTGCAGATCCCCACCTTCCAGCTTCATCCCCTGTCCTGGGGAGGGAAGGAGAGAAGGATCTTCTGTGACCCCTGCACTGCTGCATCCTGTCCTTGGAACCCTGACAATTGGAGGCATGCAAGAGGGATGACTGGGGCAGACATCACGGAACAGCAGGTCCCCTCTGAAACACAGAGAGGTTAGGGGCCGGTCCGCAGACATCTAGGGTCTTGGAATGGCAGGCGAGACTGGGGGATCAGCCCTAAGGAGAGGGCAGAGTGAGGCGGGCCCACAAGGCAGCCATGCTCGCAGTCAGCCACTCAGCTGCTCTATGCCAATCAGTAAAGGGCCATTACCCTGGGCCCTGAAATGTCCATCCTCACCCACTACCCTGTCCCCTCTCACCACCACCCCACAATGCACTCCAGGACTAAAGGGGTCCCCCTGCCCACAGGGGCCTGCAGGACCCAACTTATCCATTGGTCAGTGCCAAACATACTGTTTGAAGTCATTTAAACTTCCCCATGACCCCATGAGCCTTGCTGTCCCCATTTTCCTGATGGAAAAACAGATCTAGAGTGGGGAAGTCACTTGTCCAAGGTCACCTGTGCCATCTAGCCCATCCCAGCACTTGAGCTCTTTCCTCACAACTCACAGGCCCCCCGACAAAGTACATGGGTGCTGAGCATGTGTGTGGGTATTGTGTACATATATGTGAGGGGGTACGTTACATGTCTTTTTATGTGGAAGGGTGTACTGCATGTGTGTATGTGTGTGCCTTTAAGCTGCAGAGAACGTGTGCACACCATACCCACGAAGTGGTGTATGTGTGGATTTTGTGTGTGAGTGCATGCCTGTCTGTCCTGGGTCCAGCCGAGTGGCTGTGAGCTTGTGTGTGTCTTAGGGCGCATGGAGTATGTGTGCCTATATAGATGTGTGTTTGGTTGATGAAGAACGTCGAGCAAGGCTGTTTGTACATGTGCGAGAGCTGTTCAGGTTTCAGGACAGAGCAGCCTGAGTCTTCAGATGATTTTATAGCCATTTATTGTGCTCCAGTGAAATAGAAAAAGAAAGTGCTCGCGTTACAAACACCGCTGTCACATCCACATATGCCAGTCGCTGCAAACCAAACCGCGTGTGTCCGCTGGGTCTCTGGGCATGCAGTTGGCTCCCATTGTGGGAATGGAGTGGAGGCAGGCCGAGCCTGGGCTCTGGGGGCTTTGCTTGGGGGCTTCTTGTCCTGGGGGAACCCACCTGTGAGGGAGTGGGGGGACAGCTGGGGTAGCTTTGCTGAGTGCGTCCTTTGGGTGCTGTTGGGAACACCCGGCTTGATGTTGGACCCTGCAGCGCTCCAGGGAGGAGAGCCCCCTTTCCCCCCACAAACCCCCCAATCTGTTTCCCCCCCAAACACTAACCCTGTAGGCAGGTGCCAGGGGCTGGAGGGCGCCATGCAGGGGGCAGGGGGCAGCAGGGCCGGGCTAGGCCCTGCCGAGAGCAGCAGCCAGCCTCCCTGGGGGGAAGGCAGGAGGCCCAGGGCCCTAGGCAGAATTGTAGTAGTTGTGTGGGTGGTGGTTATGGGTAGGCTCGCCCATCTCTGGGTACTCAGGCGTCAGGCAGTATTTGGGGTCATAAACCTGGCGTGGCAGCCCGTACACCGTCATGCCCCGCTGTGAGGCCCCCTTATTGCTGCCCATCTGCAGGCTGACATTGAGAGTATCACAGTGCTCCATGCCCAGCCCCGGCTCGAAAATCTGCCGCTTGGTCCCGGGAGCCGTCATGCCAGCCTGTGGAAGGAATGCAGTCAGACGGTAGGCATGGCAAAGGGCAAGAGCCCCACCAGCCCACTCCACGGTTCCCTACACACCTGGCTGGCTCCCTTGTTGGTGCCCATCTGCAGGCTGATGGTGGCCTGGTCCAGGGGCTGGTCCGTGCCCAGCTTGGGGTCATAGAGGTGGCGTCGGGTACCATAGGCCGTCATGCCCTGCTGGCTGGCAAACTTGTTGGTGCCCATCTAGGGAGCCAGAAGGAGAGTCACCTCGAGGGTTACAGAGCCTCACCACGGACCACAAGATGTCCTGATGTCAGTGGACACTCACATGGCCCTCTAACAAGGCACTGTTTCCACCCTTAGGCTACAGACTGGAAACTGAGGCCCAGAGAAAGTGTCAGCTCAGTAAGTGGCTCAGAACACTCAGGCCTGACTTCCACAGTTCAAGTCCCAGCTTGGCCACTCATCACCTAGGTGAGCCTGACAAGCAAGCTAGCTTCTCCAGGCCTGTTTCTATATAAAGGTAACAGTACCTGCCTTCTAGAGCTGCTGGAGGAGTGAGTTAGGGTACAGAGTTAGAGCACAGTGCCTCACATATAGTCTAATTAAGGCCAAATATGCTGTCCCCCAAAGCCTGCAGGGCCCAGGATGTCTTCCCAGCCTCCTCCACCTCCAGTCTGGGCTGAGGAGCAATTAGACCCAGGTGGGGAAGGGGAGTACCTGAAGCCCAATGATGTTCCGCCCTTCTCGAAGCTTCTCAGGCTCAAATTTCCGCTCCTGCTTCTCTGCGTACTTTACACCCACATTCACCTTGTTCCCTTTCGTCTTGGCCTGAAGAAGGCAAAAGAGGGCAGGGACTGATGAGGGAGCCTCTGCTGTACTGTCCCCTTCCAGCACCTGCTCTGCCCCTCCCACCCATGCTGGGCGCAGGGATGAGTGGCCCCACTTGAATCCCAGCCCAGACTGTCCACAGTCCCTCTGCCCCATTCCCACCCTTGACCCACACTCACCATGCTGGCCAGGGCCAGGAGGGTGGACTGCACCTGGGTGTGGTTGGTGTTCTCGAACAGGTCATTTGCCTCAAAGATGTCATGGGGCCTCACCCCATACTTGGTGATGGCCTTGATGAAGTTGCCTATGTTCTCCAGCTGGAGGGGGAGCAGGTGACAGTCAATGGGAGGCTCTATTGAAGGGTTGAAAGAGTTAAAAAGAGTCTGGGCTCACCTGGTGCCAGTTTTGTGTCGACTCATTGACCTTCTTCACCGAGCCTGGCTGGAGCTTATTGATGAACCTACAGGGAGTAGGGGAGGGGAGTGACAAAGGTGACCCCTGCTGGCCCCCCAGTGCTCAACCCAACAGGAAAAGGGGTCAGTCAGGATAACAGTAGGTAGGTGACATCCATTTTGCTGTTTCCCACTGCAGTCACTCTCAGCTGGATCCCCCACCACAATCCACCCCCAAAACACAGGCAGGACCAAGACAGAAAAACAAGCACAGGAGCCAGACTCTGTTCCTGGTCAGAAAGTCTTGTCTAAGGTGTGTGGGAGTCCCCTGGTGTGCCCCCACCTCCCTGGAGATGGAGTTTCAGTCTCCTTTTCTCTACACCATGGAGAGCCTGCAGTTCAGGCCTCCGCCTTCTCTGCCACCCTCACCCCCTGGACCTCATCCAGTATCTTGACTTTAAATGCCACTGATATGCCAACCACTCCTCAGTATCTTTCTGGAGCCCAGGCCTCTCACTCTCCAACCCAGCGCCCTACATGGGTGTGTCAAATCAAGCACCCCACCCCAGACTCCTGACACCCACCTCTCCCCACAGAACTTTCTCCTTCCCCAGCTCAGGAAACCCACCCTTACAGGGGCACAGGCAAGGCCCTCAGACTTGTCCTTGACTCTCCTCTGCCTTCTCTCACCCCCACATCCAATCCCTCAGCAAGGCCTCTGGCTCTGCCTTCTAAAGACATCCAGAAGACCACAGCTTTCCACCACCCTGCTCTGAGCCTCCAGCATCTCTTTCTCCTGGGCTTTTGTAGAGGCTTCCCCATGGGCTCCAAGCTTCCACCTCATCACCTACAGACCCTTCATCTTGCAGCTAGAATGGCCTTTTTAAAACAATTCCCGTTACTCCCCACTTCAAAATGGTCCCAAGGTTTCCTAACTCCTTAGCGTGACTAAAAGCCCCCATGTCATCTGGTCCCCAGCTAACTCCCTCTACTTCCCCAAATTGTCCTGTGCCAGCCACTCCTCCCTGTTCCTGGAACACACCATGCACGTTCCCACCTCAGGGCCTTTGTACTGGTTGGCCCCCCTGCCTGGCCCACTCTTCCCTCAAACACTCACCTGGCTTCCTCCCTCTCTTTGTCCGAGTTTCTGCACAAATATTACCTCTTCAGAAAGACCTCCCAGACCATTCTGTATAAAGCAGCTACCCTTCACTCCATGGGGCACCCCATCCTTTCCCACTGACTCTCTTCTCCATATCACTGCCCACCATAGGCAAGTATGTGATTATTTCATTGATTATTCAATCCATCTCCCCCACTAAGACTAAAGCTCCCTGTGAGCTCCGAGGCTGTTTTGTTCACTATCCCCAGCAGGAGCTCCATAAATTCTTGGTGCACAAAGGACTGAGTGGGTGAGTGGCTCTGCACTCTTTTTGTTGTTGTTTGTTAATACTAACTCGAGGATATTTTTTACATTGATTTTTAGAGAGTGGGAGAGGGGGAGAGAGAGAGAAATATTGGTGTAAAACAGACACATCAATTGGCTGCCTCCCACATGTGCCCCAAATCAAATCTGCAACCCAGGTACATGCCCTTGACCGGAATCGAACCAGAGACCTTTCAGTGTGCCAGCGGACACTCTAACCACTGGGCCACACTGACCAAGGTGGCTCTCCACTCTTTAAGATCTAGCAGCCCTGACTGACACCAGGCTGTCTCTCTATTTCTTGTTCCGAGTGGATATTGTAGAGCAAGATACTCCTGTCTGGCCCCGCCAGTGTGGCTTGGTTGAGTACTGTCCCACACACCAAGAGGTCACAGGTTCGTTTCCAGGTCAGGGCACAGGCCTGGGTTTCAGGTCTGATCCCTGGTAGGGGGCATGCAGAGGCAGCCGATCAATGTTTCTCACTCTTTGATGTATCTATCTCTCCCTCTCCCTTCCTCTCTCTCTAAAATCAATAAAAACATATTTAAAAAAAAAAAAAAATACTCCCCTCTGCCCCCTTTCCAGCACCTAAGGCTTGGTAAGGGACATTCCCAAGGGCACACTCTGGTCCTCACGGGCACCCTGTCCTAGGTCAGACTCAGAGATACAGGCAGGACCTCTGCTGGGCTCAGAGCCTTGCCCAGCATTAGAGTTGTGGTTGAATCTAGAATCAGGGTTTGGGAGCTGTGAAGGTTTGCATCTTCCTCAGTGATTTAAGTTCTGAGAAGAGCAAAAAATCAGAGCCTACTTAAATTACTGTGGCACATCCCTCATGTCACCAAGCCAGCGAAGGACAGCCAGTGTTGCTTGTTGTCTTTTAGCTGTGACCTCTCTTTCTTGGGACGATGGAGGCCATAAATGGGCCTATGTGCCCTATCCTGGTGGTGGTAAGAGCTAGAATCTGGAGTCATTTCCATTGGAAATGCATGGGACTTTGAGTGATGTGTTTTACCTGAGTCTCAGTTTTCATTCCTGTTCAATGGGCACAATGATTATTTGCACCTCAGAGGACTGTTTCAAGGTCTAAGAAATAACGTGCCCAACCCAGCTCATGGTTGGTGGTGAAGGGGTTGAGGGGGAGAGATGAATAACAGTTGGGGGTCAGCCCTAGGCAGAGTCTAGGCCAACGGTGCCCCACTCACTCGCAAAGAATGATGCCATCTTTGAGGCCATCCATGAAGTTGTTTCCTATGCGGCGTCCTGTCACTCCCTCAATCCACTCTCGAAGCTCCTGCTCCCGCTGAGGGTCGTACTTCTGGGCCAGCTGTGGGTGGGAGGCACAAAGTTGATGAGGAGGATATGGGAGGGCAAGCTTCGCTCTCTAAGCCTGATCTCCTTTCTCATCTCTTCCCAACTAAGGCAATTCTGCCACAGTGTCCATGGGGGGGGGGCACCCGAGGGGCTGAGGGCCAGGGCTGAGGTGGCACCTGCCCAGGGGGCCATTCCAGGCATTCTGAGGTTTGGCACCAGAGAATGTGGACAAGGGTGGGTGGAGAGGGGGATACTCTAAGTTGGGGGGTGGTGCCTGGCCTCCTGGTTCCCCCTCCAGGCCAAACTTGGGGCTTTGCTTTCCCTGGCCTTGCCTCCTCTGCCCCCCAGTCCCTCCCCCTGCTGGAAGACTGGGAGCCTTTGGCAAAGGAGGAGGAGCCCTAAGGAGGTGCCCCTGAATGCTGCCTTGCAGGGGACTGCTGTCTTGATTCTCTGTCTCCAGGTCACCATCTAAGGCTCCAGCTCTGGCGGGGCATCAGGCCTCGTTTTTGTCTTACTTCTGGCCCCAAGCACTGTGTCTGTATTTCTCTGTCTCTCTCCCCATTCCCCGGGTCCTCTGTCTCTCTCTCCCCGAGCTCTGTCTGTCTTTACTTGGCTCTGTCTTCCTGTCCGCATTGCTCCATGTCTGGCTGGGGGTGGGCCCCATCGTTCATCTGTGGATCACTCTCCATTTCGGACTTCAGGTTCCCTGGCTCGGGTGGGGTGGGGCTCGCCTGTCTCCCCTTCTCCTCCTCCATCTGTGTCTCAGTCTTATCTCGCCCCTGGCTCGTCCTCCCCCATCTGTCTCCCTCCTGTCTCAGGATCCCAGAATCTGTGTTTCTCTAGAACCCGCAGCCTCCAGCCCAGACAGGCTCCCAGCCCCTGGGGGACCGGACTGCCCCTTCTTCTGGGGGAGGGGGAGGTGGGAGGGAGCGGACCCCTCACCTGGCCCGGGTGCTGTCAGCCCCCCTCCCCACCAGTCCTGCTTTATAAAGCAAACCGGCCCTTATATAGAGCGGCCCAGCGGGCCGGGCTCCCCGAGGCCGCCTTATATGGCGTGGCGGCTCCGCTGGACTCTGGGGCCGGCGCTGGAGGGGGGGGGGTGCGGGGAGCACTCGGATGTGTTTCCAGCATGAGCACCCGCCCCCCACCTGCCCCATTCTCCAGCCACGAGGATCCCCGTCCCAGGGTCCAATACTAGCTCCCCACTTCCTCAGTGGCTGGCGCTGAAGGGGGAGAGGGGTGCGGGGAGAACTGGGATGTGTCTCCAGCATGAGTACCCACCCCCCACCTGCTCCCTTCTCCAGCCAGGAGGATCCCCAACCTAGGTTCCAATACTAGCTCCCCACTTCTTCGCTCCCTGGCAAAAGCTACCCTGTGCCTCAGTGTTCCCCTCTGTCAAATGGGTCTGAGACTCATCCCCTGGCAGGCTTCATGGGAGCATTCCAGTGGGTTGGGGACTTCAAGTTCGCTGCCCTGGAGAAGGGCCTAGCTCTGCACCTCCCTTTTGTAGGACCCTAGCTACTTGCCTCTCTGCTCAGAACCTCAGTTTACTCATCCATAGCATGGAGGTCATGTCTCAATGCTTTCCTAATTCCAAAACTAGGAGACCCCTGCCCTGTTTCTAATGCCCACTCTGCCCTCCTCAGCTTCCTCTTTCTCCCTTCACCTTCCAGGAACCCCAGCTCTCAAGCATTCCCCAACTTATTCGTCAGGCTGAGGGAGTGGGGAAGATCACTAAGTCTCCCAGAGTCTACCACAAAAACAAAAGGTTAACAGGATTCTTGATGAAGTAGGGTTTTCACAATGGAATGACCCCACTGTTTATCTGTGGTTGCCTGTATGCTCCCCACTCCATGCCCCAACAATAACCGGGGGCTCTGGGATCTCAAGAAGGAGAGGAAGGCAACCTCTATGGCATACTTGTCCCTCTTCCCTCTCAGGTTCCAAGTCACATGGAATAGACAGGAGGGTGTCCAGGGAAACCCCAAGAGCGGGCCTCCGGCCTGGCAGGATGTGTGGACCAGACCAGGGGAGGCCCTCTAGCCCTACCTTGTTCTTGACCTCGGCTGACAGACCATAGGCGGGGCCTCTGTTGAAGTGAGCAGAGGACATGCTGACCGGTGGTGGGCAGTGGTGACCGTGGCTCTGAGGACCGCTGCAGCAGCTGAGGCTCTGTCTGCACCCTCTTCCCTCCTCACGGTTTTGAAGCTCCGGAGGCGGCCCGGGCCTCTTCCAAGGCCGTCCCATTGGCCACAGAGGCCTGCCAAGGGGCGGGGCGCCCCCCCACCTTGGCCACCCCCCTTTCGTGATGTCAGGGCCTTGGTATTGGGAGCTGATTGTGTCATTGTTTCCACCTAGGGGGGCGACCTGGGTTATTCTTTTGGGGGGAGCTTAGCCAGACAGAGACCGACCTTACCCCAGTCCTCCCCAACCCCCACTGTTCTTTGGGCCTCTGGCTGGGTCTCCCAGTTTCTTTGTGTCTGTCTCTGAGGCTATCTGTGTCTCTGATGCCATCTCTTCATGTCTCTCTCCAGTCTTGAGGCAAGACTGCCACATGTGGTAGGGTAGTGAGCACCACCCTCGGTTTAACTCCAGAAACCAACAGTCCTTAACTATAAACATGTCCCTTCTTCTCTCTGAGCCTTTGTTGTCACATCTGTAAAATGGGCTAATGATAGTGCCTGCCTTGTGAGAATGTTGTGAAGATCCAAAGAAACAAGGCCTCTGATGTGCCCAGTGCAGTGCCTGGCATAGGGGAGAACTCAGGGAATAGCAGTCCTTTCTGCTGAGAATCTTATAAGATCCTGAGGGAGCAAAGATTCTGGATCTGACCCTCCCCATCTACCTATGGGTTGAACGTATTAGCAGGTTTCAGGCCATGGACATCCCCATGCATCCCTGCCCCAGCCAAGATGACCTGGAGGGAATACCCGCAAGCAGTACCAGCTAGCCAGATCCCACCCCTGGACCACAGGGTGACATGCCCACATATTCCACATATGTTAAGGCCATATTAGTGACACTTGAATGACATATCAGCAACCCGCCATCCACTATGTCAAGGACATTCAATTTGCTGGCCATGTGCTGAAGGTACTGTTGTGATATGCTAATATGACAACAGCACTGTACATGTATCAACTCAGTCCTCACAACACTCAGAAGTGGACATTGTTATTATATGCAATCTAAAGATGGGGAAACTGAGGCAGGGGTGTGGAATCACTTCCCCAGTGTCACACAGCTTGCCAGTGGCAGAGCAGAATTTGAATCCAGGTCCCCACCCTTAATGCTAAGAGGCAAACTCAACCTTGGCACTGTAGACATCAGGGCTGGGTAATTCCGCATGGTGGGGGCCGTCCTGGACATTGTAGGACTTTAAGCAGTATCCTGGGCTTCTGCCTACTACATACCAGTGACACTCCCTTAGTCTTGACCAACAGAAATGTTTCCAGACATTGACAGATGATCCCAGGGGAAGGAGGAGGGCAGATCTCCCCCATTTGAGAAGGACTGGCTAAGACAACAAAGGACAAGTTGTGGCGTGTAATGATATGTTGAAGATACACTAAAATACATAAATGAACTAACAATTAGTTCCTGGTATGTACTAAGTGTAGTGGCTCGGTTAACTCCTTCCTCACAACAGCCTTATGAAGTGGGGTCGATATGAGGCACAGAGAGGAGAAGCCGACTGCCCGGGGCACACAGCACGAGGTTGGCTGATTCAGAATTCGAACACGTAATTCCGGAATCCTGGCAAGGCAGAGCGGCCCTGGGCAACCACTCGTCGCTACTGCGCATGCGAGGACCCGCGCCCCGGCGGAGCTCGAGACTGGCGCCCCCTGGCGGCCCCGACGGGAAGGGCGGAGCTTGGCAGGGACCCGACGCCGGTGACGCGCACGCTGACTCACTCCACCCCGCCTCCCGGCCGGCGGCCACCTGGCCATTTATAGAATCCTCGCCGGCTCTGAAGTCACAGCCCAGGCACGACGGGGGCGGGGTGGGGGAGCACTTGGCGCGCCCCGCGACGGGGCAGCCCGGGGTCCCCCTAGAGGGTGGCCCTTTCTAGGTTTGTCCTGTCCCTCCAATTCTGGGTCTGTGTCTATCTTATACTGTCTTTAGGTCGCTTTATGTCCGTCTCTCTGCATCGCCTAGCCTTTTTCTGTCTCACTCTGTGTCTCTATGAATTTGCCTGTCACACTGCCTACGCCTTTCTCTGTCCCCATGTCTCCTCTCTATTATCTCTTCATCTCTGTTTCTGTTTCACGTCTCTGGGTGTCTTTCTGTCTCTCTGTCTCTGTACCTCTTCGGTAGATGGGCGTAGAGCCGGGGGCGGGAGGGTGCTGATGTCATCCCAAGCCCCCCACGGCAGGGGACTTCCCCATCACTGGCTCTCCTGTGTGCAGTCCATTCAGCTCCTATCTAGCTTTTCCCAGGCCCCAGACCCTCGGTGCCTTAGTTTCCCATCTATATGAAAAGATGGGATCTTGTAAGGAACAGAGTTTCCCAAAGGGTTCAGGTCAGTCATGAAAGAAAAGCCCTGGCATTTCTCAACCCTAGAAGGCCCATAAAACCTTGCTCTCAGAACACGCGCGCGCGCGCGCACACACACACACACACACACACACACACACACACACACACAC